TAATCTTAACTGCCTTTGAAGAATGTCTATTACAGACTAGAGGTCAGACTGTGGGCAAAGCATGGCCGGGTGATGCCTTAGTTCCATGCAGCATAACTGGTGTGACACAGTTCTCTCCTCTCTCCATCTCTCTCCTGCTCGTCCCTCTCTCCTCTTTTACTGTTGTGCTCTCTCCTCTCCGTATATCTTTTTCTCATTCCCTTCTCTCTTTCTGTCTGTCTCTGTCTCGCTGTCTCTGTCTGTCTCTGTCTCTCTGTGTCTCTGTGTGTCTCTCTCTGTCTCTCTGTGTCTCTGTCTCTGTGTCTGTGTCTCTGTGTCTCTCTATGTCTCTGTCTCTGTCTCTCTCTGTCTCTCTGTCTCTCTCTCTCCTTAAGCTGGATTCACTCATTCCTCACCATGAGTCACAGAAGTTTTAACAAGGAAAATACAAAGAAGTATGTTATCTCAAAATGTCTCTGTCCTCAGAACGATGTGTCCCCCCCTCCCATGAAGGACTTTGCTGGCTCAGAAAGCCAGTGCCTGTCACGGAGGTGGACAAACGCAGTCTTCAGAGTTCCGGACACAGTTCAAAACTTTTGGCTCTAGCACCATGTTTCTGAAATTCGATCATGTTTCTCATTGATTTCCATCCTGAAATTGGAAGTCGTTGCCCTCAAGACATAATAAAAGTCACACAGAAGAAAATGGAAAAGCCCCCACCCCTTAATATTTAAAGGAGAATGATTTTTATACAAAATACTCATTTGTCTGCTTAAAAATAAATTACATTGTGGTGCCAGTTGGGGTTGAGGCCGTAACATTTTGATTTATGGCTTCTGGAAGGAGAGGCCCAGCTAATGAGATTCTCCTCAGCCTAGACTAGCTGGGTGGCAGCTAAAGACCTCAGGCAAGGGGAGCAGGTTGCCTGGCTCATGTCCCTGCCCTGGTGCTATTGTCCCACACATCCCCAGATCTCAGACCCATGTTTAGTATCTGTCTACAGATGAGAGGCACCAAGGAAATGAGGAGAGGGGGTGGGGGGTTCCTATCCTGTTTCCTCCTCACGTGATCCCCAGAACCTCGCCAAACTGCAGCTCCACACTCCTGATCATCCACCCACCCCCACCCCGCAGTTCCCTGTGTTCACCAGCAGCACAGGGGTGTGATCACTCCGTGTTTGCTTGAAGTCCTAGACACAGACATTCCTGAGCTCTTAGATAAGCAGGGGCCAGACTCAAAAAACCACTTGAGTTATTACTCACTTGGCACCATAGTCCACATTTTCACAATTTCACATCCATTCATCTAGTTTTAACTAAGAACCCGAAAATGTACTAGATACTATGCTGGCCCCATAGGTTGAACTCATGAAGCCCAGAGAAGCTCAGCTCTTCTCAGCATTTGCTTCTACTTCCTGGGTGTCTTCTCAACATGTATGACAGGACATAAAATGTTCATTGCTAAGCCAAAGCATAGTAACAGCAGAGTCCTTATCTCTGGGAATGGCTGCAGACACCAGCAGAGGTTCTTACTGACCCCTGAAGTCTAACTGGGAGAAGACAGAAATCTACCATCAAATGACAATAATCATTACTTAGCAAACACAGACATATTGCAGATCATGGGTCAGCTGTCAGGCCCCTCACCCAAGTGTGCTAGAAGGGTCCCTTCTAGTATTTCATAATTAAATTTGACTCTTTCCTGGGTCTCTATTCAATGGACATTTCAATTTTAGCATACTTGGGACAATCTCAACCAGTGCAGAAATTTGTGTGATTTGCTTAGTGTTTTTTTCCCATTCTCTTTTCCCAGAGAATTTACTGGTGCACCTGGCATTGATGAGGGAGAACCCCATGGGAAGGTACGGCCTTGCACACCAATGTCAGAATTGGAGTATCATTCCCTCCATTACCCTCTGTGTTTAATGACAAAGCCTTCACAGACTTGGCTTCTCTCTGTGTTCTCTTCTAACCCCTTTGCAGAAGATCCTCAGCTGCCAGGGGCATCTCCTCTCCAAACACAGGTGACAGCACCATGCCTAGAGGGGCATTTCCTCTCTAATACAGGTGACAGGGCCACCTTCTCTCACCATGCCTGGTCTCCTGTTGCCACAGAACCCCATGAGCAGAGGAGAGAGACAGGAGCATTGCCACTACCAAACTGCAAGTCACTTACAAAGACAGAAGGAGCTTCAGGCTCATAGCTTTACACTTCTCAATCCTAAATTAGGTGGTCTTTGTACTGGGAACCTCTGGCTGGGGCCACACATCATATAGTGAAAGGGAGAGAACAAACCACTTACACTCAAATCAGGAAGCCATGAGGAAGAGAATGATCAGAGTTGAGGAAGATTAGGATTCCGCAGACACATCTCCAACGATTTACGAACCTTCCACTTAATCCCACCTCTCAAGAGCTTCCCTACTTCTCAGTAACGCCACCCCAGGGACAGGCACTAACACTCAGGACTTTAGTGGACTATAACATCCAACTATAGCACTAAAAGGAAACTGGACCATTTCCTAAAAATCTTCCCCTACAGTTAATTTTGTTCCTGTCTTGGGCACGCGAGTGGTTCGAGAGAGCAAGCATGTATTTAAATTATTCTGTTCAGCAAAGGGAATAAAAGCCTCAAACCCCAGAAGCCTTTTCTGCAAAAGGTCCTGGGCTCAGATAATAAAATGGCGCTTTCATTCTCATTAATGGGCAATTGATTTAAGGACCAGGCCCAGTGGGTTATTGACCAGTGTTAATCATTAGAAAATGCCAAGTTAATGAATCTAACTGCCAGGAGACGCCAGTGGGACATGGGGAAAGCCAGTTAGACACATAACCTTGTCCCCTCCCAGTTATGGAAAAATCTGGATTTTTCTCTGGGAGACAGGGCCCAGGTAGGAACAGACTGAGTAGGGCCAGAAAGGTCCTAAGCCTTCAAAGTGTGCCTCAGATTCTCCTGCAAGACTATTCCCATCTCATGTCTCAAAATAGATTTCATTTGAAAATATTTTTCTATTTACAATAAAACTGCAGGCTCTCATGCCCTGCCTAGGTTAGCATTGCCACAGTAATGGACTAATTGCTATATTAGTATTAACTAAAGTTTAGGTTAATTTAGATCACTTGATTTTCCCTTACTCTCCTTTCTGTATTCACGGGCACCACCCCACACTCAGGGGTCAAGCCTCAGGCTTCTCCTGGGTGAGTTTCTTTGTCCTTCCTTCATTTTTGTGACCTTGACAGTTCTTTTTCTTTTCAATGTGTAAGGATGTTTTGCCTGCTGTGTGTCTCTGTGCATCAAATATGTGCCTGGTACCCAGCGAAGCCAGAAGAAGGCATCAGATGTCCTGGGATTTGAATTACAGATGGTTGTGAGCTGTCATATCAGTGCCGGGAGTTAAACCCGGGTCCTCTGGAAAAGCAGCCAGTGCTTTTAACCACTGATCCGTCTCTCCACTCCTGACCTTGAGAGTTTTAAGGAGGCATTCTGCAGATATTTGACTTTTGTCATGTGCTTGTCTCAAAGTCCATGAATGTGTTTTTAAACATGTATCATTGTATACATTAATGTTATTCACATTGATGTTTCAACATATACTTCTGACTTCCTTACATTTTTTTCTAACCTCTTGTAACCTCTATTCTACAACCAGGTTCAGGGTTTTAGCTACATATGCTAGACAAACATATACAGACAACATATACACATACAGATGTAGACATCATATACAGACAGATACATATATTATACACAGACATCCTTGTCAGATACACACATCACACACAGATACACACATCATACAAGGCACTATACACAGACAGACACAAACATCATACACAGACAGACACAGACATCATACATAGGCAGACAGACATTGTACACTGACATCACATATGAAAGACAGATACAGACATCATAGACAGATATAGACATCATAACAGAGAGACACAGACATCATACATAAACAGATACATACACCATACATAGACAGATTTGTATATCATACACAGACAGACACAGACATCATGTACAGACAGATAGAGACATCATACACAGACAGATAAAAACAAGGATATGTGATCCTTGTTTTCTGGGTCTAAGTCATTTCACTTAACATGATGTCTTCTAGTTCCATCCATTTTACTGCAAATACCATTTTTAATGGCTAACTTGTGTGTGTGTGTGTGTGTGTGTGTGTGTGTGTGTGACTGTTTGTCTGTCTGAGCACTTGCTTGATTTCTTGCACCATACAATGCTCTAGGTGCCTCTTGCATATTTTCTGTCTAATCCCTGGAGTCAGTCATTTCTCCAAGGAACCTAATTCTTCGTTAATTTTCATCATGGATTGTCATTTGTTTTCTTCCTTTATTAAGTAAGAAACAAAGCCATGTTCATTGTGGAAAAAAATTCGCAAGTAAGTGGAGGAATAAAGATGAAAATATTCATCATAACTCAAAACAGAGAAAGCCACCTAGGAGTATTTCCCCCAAGGTTCTTCTGCCAGATCTCTCTGTCTCTCTGTCTCTCTGTCTCTCTCCGTGTGTGTGTGTGTGTGTGTGTGTGTGTGTGTGTGTGTGTGTGTGTGTGTGTGTGAATGTTTTGCCTGCATGTATATAAGTGCCCTGGAACTGGAATGGTGATGAGCTGCCATGTGGTGGTGAGAACTGTACCCAGGTTCTCTGCACGACCAATCACTCCAGCCCCTAGGTATTGGCTCTTAAGAAGTCCTTTCCATGTTTTCCTACTTGATCTCTGCCAGAGCTAAGTGCATCCCCGGGGATGATGAGACACCCAGCCTTCTGCCCCAGTAGCTATGCTAGAGTACTCACGTGGGCCTTTCTTTTCCTGGGTTCTTTGAGACTCATCCCTCACAGATCCGAGAGGCCAAGAGTCAGGAAGTATCCCTCAGACTCTGAAGAGAGGGACATACTTCCTTGTGAGCCATAGCTGACCTTTCTTTCCTGGTCTTTAAGGACTAAAGAAGATAATGTACATAACAAGTGGAAAGGGCAAGTAAAAGCTGTTCTTATTATAATATTGTTATTAGTAGCCAAAAGACCCAATCACTTTAAAACAACTGAAGTTCAGGCTTAAAGTGAAGGGCAGGCCTCTGTGTAGCAGACTCTCTGAAGGCTGTCTTACAGATGTTGGCTAGGAAAGGGGAATAGCACTAAATAAGTGTATTGGGCCCAGGTGATGACTCTATAGTCTGGCACAGGACAGATGGATTGCCTGGATGTAGGCCCTGTGGCTGTCCTCGCCAGTCAGGGGCGTATTATCTAGGCACCTAGTCAGTCCTAAAGAATCTCCTCATTGCTGGTCAGACCAGAAGTCACTCCTCTCCTCCAATGATGAGATTGTGGGCTGGGGATGAGCCGGAGACGAAGCTGGCACAACTGTCATACTTAGCTCTGGGACCTGCAAAGGAGAGAAAGAGACTGCAAACATGCATCATTATCTGCAGGGTCAGTGGCAGATAGTCTGAGGGTTAGGGTCAGTCTTTGCCATGCTGTGGGGGCTGGGTGTGCAAGCGATTCCTGGAGTCTAGCTAGATGCCCTCCCCCCACCTCCAACAATGGTGACTAGGCAGCTGCACTTGGGGATGCCAGGGACTCTGGAGAAGCATTAGGCCACTTCAGGGCTAGATCTTCACTAGGAACTCTGGATGAAATTATTTCACTAGCCCTCCCTCCTAGGAATATGCTTCCCGTGTCCCCCAAGCTGGGTCTTGTGAGCCCAGAACCACAGGCCACAGCCACTCTGCTTCCCTTTCTCAGAATCTACTATATCATCCAAGTGCTCATCCCACTCATCTGAACCTGGCAGCAGTGAGGATAAGCTGTCCCAGAGCTTAGTACAGGCCCTATCACACAGGAAAGAGATCTGCATCTATGGGATGAATGAATTTAGGTAGACCAGAATAGCCTTCCCAACTCAGTGTTGTGAAAGAGATAAACATGGAACCAATATGATTTGTGGTGAATTGCCTCATCTCTCTGAGTCCCAGGTTCACTTCCTGCAAAGTAAGTACAGAAAGAAAGTAATCCTTCAGGGGATTAAATGAGACTGTCTATGTATGTTAAATAGGATAATATGTGCACTATTGCCCTCCAGCTCTACTTGAATGTTCCCTATGATCTGGTGTTGCATCAGGCTGCATATGGTGTGTCTAAACTAATAAATATAGTAGACACTAACAAATATTGGCTTCCTTCCCCCAGAACTAATTTAAGGTGTATGTGTTGAAAAGATGGATGGATGGATGCTAGATGATGCATGGGTGGTGAATGGATAATGAGTGGACGATGAATGGATTAAGGCTGGGTGGAGGGAGCATCCTTCCAGTAGCAGGGGATAGAATAAGTGTGGAGATCCCACTGGCAAGGCAGAAGGTTGCACCACTTTGGGATGACTATCTTGGACTTCAGAGAGCTCCTGGGTAGGATGGTTTATCTTTAATTAAAGTCTCAGCACAGCGCTAAATGCCATTTTATTTTAGTTCATAATTAACACTAATGAGATGAGCAAATCACAAGCTGCACACGTTTTGGGAAAGTGAAAAACAGCATCCGAGCTCAGTGGTTTCCGCTGTTGCCCGCCCCACCCCGAGTGCTATGCTCAATTAAAAGTTTCAAGAAAATATTGCAACTATGCTCCTTGTCTTTGTGGTAATGAAGCATATTAATTTGAGTGTGATGAATACAATATTCCACTGACTTTTTATTCCCTTATCTACAAAAGTTTAAAATAATGGGCCAATTAAATCAGGGGAGAAGAATGCAGGGTTTGCCTGAGGCTCCAACTCAGAAACCCAACAACTGAAGGAACAAAACTGTGAGGTTGCATCTGAGCTTGATCCCATCCCAGGACCACAGCTGACAGATACTAATTCATATGGACAGATGAGGACCAGGATAAAATATGTACGGTATCTGGGATGCAAAACTGGTTCTAGGCTACCCTCCAGTGTTGTTTTCTCTGACTAATGATTAAATGGATGAATGGATAGATGGAGAGTTAAACCAGATGACCTGCCAAACTCCCATTTTCTCCAAAGTAGTAAATGAAGTATCTATGAGTCTCATCTGACTCTCCAAAACACAGAGGTTAGAGGCAGAATATGCAGGTAAGGGTCAGTTCCCTGACTCTACAAGTTAGAGGCAGCATTTCCATGTGCAAGCTAGTTCTCCAGCTCTTTACTCTAGCGCAACATCTATTTGTTACAAAGCCAGTTTAAGCTTAGCTACTGCCCATGGGATCTTCTCTCTCTGGAGTAGAGGCCTGAATGCAGTTGGCTTCTGGAGAGGCTGAGCCTTCCCTTCCACACATCGTATTGGAAGTGGCTGTCTTAGAGCAGATCTATGAGCCTGGCAGGTAGTTCAGGTATCTCCTTACTGACATCTGGAAGCCTTCCCACTTCCACATGTTCCTGTAGTCACTAACTCGACCTTGCCACTGTGACACTGAGGCAATCTGTATTGCACACTATCCAATCTAGTTTCCCTACACTCTGTTCTCTGTCTTGTGGACATTCTAAACACACACACACACACACACACACACACACACACACACACACACACACACCCCAAACCCATTCTCTCAAGCCTAAAAATAAAAAAATCTTTGTATAGTCTATGGTGCTCTCTGTTCGTCTGACCCTGCATGCCAAAGCCCTTCCAGATCTATCTGTTGCCATGACTCCTCTGTCTCCATCCACTCCTAAACACCTTTTCAACTTCAACCCTCACCTTCCTCAGATGCTTTACATGTGCTTTTGGTTGAATGTCTTGCCTCACCTCTCATCTAGTTAATGCTTATTTATTTGCCACTCTGAACTCAAAACATCACTTCAAGGAAGGCGTCTGGATTTAAACTCCAGACACCAATTCCACCCAGCTTGTGTTTGCCTCAAGGTTTGTATTGTCACCCCTCTAAGTAGCTTTCCTTCGCAGAATTGTCACAGCTGATTATCAAATAGCTGTGCTATTACCTGAGTCACGGATGTCTCCCAATTCAAAAGCTTTACTCTTAGGCCAGAGAGATGGTTTGGCAGTTTAGAGCACTCTTTGTTCTTCCAGAGGACCAGAATTTGTTTCCCAGTACCTATATAAGGCAGCTTAAAACTGCAAGCAGTTCCAGCTCTTAATGCACTGGACAACCTCTTCTGACCTCCACAGACACCTATATACACACATACATACACATACATTTTAAAAATACATTTAATTTAAAAAAAGAGCTCTACTCTTGTTACTTCACTATACAGATTTCAGTTTGGGACTTCTTCATCCCTGAAGCACTCGCTCTGTGTTAGGCTTTATGTTGAGAACTTAAACACCTTCACTCTCTCTTGCTCTCAATCAGCTGACTGGATAACAAGAGTCACATGACTACTCACCAACAGAACAGTGTGTCACGTTCTACAATGAGCATAAGCATGGGGCTTCTTGGAAGACAGAAGAAACCTCCTGTGCCTCACTGGGAGGCTTTACAAAGAGCATAGCCCCTAAACTGAGCCTGAAAGGAAAAGGTGTTGGCCGAGATAATCCAGACAGACACAGCACTTCATCTGACAGACCCCGTGCCAGAAACTTGGAAGGCAGGGACATGTGCTGGAAGAAAAGCAGCCAGGGTGATGACTGAACTCAGGAGGGAGAGGCTGGGCTGGAGAAAGGGGTCAGGGAGGTGCCTTGCACCAAGAACCAAGAACCAGCAGCAGCAGGTAAAGATGGCAGCCATTGAGACTAGCTAGAAGGGTCTGACCGTGAGACCTCGAACTTGAGGAGTTCCCTCTGGAGACACCACAGAGAAGAGTGTTCACACTGTAAGTGGGGAACTCCAGCTCCAGGGAGACCAAGGTGGACTCACACCTCTTCCCAGATCCTAAGCTGTCTTTTCCTTAGGGGCCTCAGTGTGGCTGACCATGCTCATTCATTGCAGGGAGAATTCATTTCAGGGTGGGAAATTTTTTAAAAAGTACAAGATTAAGCAGTGTAATCAGCTGCTGCTGAGAATTGGAAATGCAATAAATAATAATAGCGTTGAGAGCTGTTTTTAATAACTCACCAGTGTAATTTAGCCTCTGCTTCTTGGAGCATATGTAAAATATGTCAGAATGGGTGTACTGGCAAATGCCTCATTGCCAGCCTCTGAAGACAAATGTCTTCCCAGGAGGGAGGGGGATGGAGGAGGACTCGGGGGACTCTGTTGAAAATGAAATGCAGAAAGGCAGGCATTGTTCATTGGACCCCACTAACGCCACACTGGGACCTTTCGCCCAGGTGACAGGCCTTGATGGGCTGTTTTCAAAGGCGAACAGGTTAACAGCAATAACACTAGAGGATGGTACTTCTAATCCAAGGGACAATGAGTTGTTTGCGGACTGTAGTATCCCTGTTTGCATGCAGTTGGTGTTGTGATTAACGGTCATCCAGGTTTGTCTGGTACAGCGGGCCCCTGGGGATGGAGTACTGTGGCAGTATTTGTCTTACTTTCTTGCATTACTGAATACTTCTACAATCATTGAAATTTGTCGTTGAAAGTGTTTGGTGAATCCTAACTGCCAGCAATTTCTGTGGACTGCACTGCTCGCTGGGGCCCAAATTGCCATAATGGAACTAGGAGTCTTCAGCACTTAGGAAAGACAACTTGATCATTGTCAGACAAGGTTCAAACTTAAACCTGGCTGTCTAACTACCCCACAGGACGAGGGAGTTGACTATGACACCTGAGACTTACAGTCACCTGTCACTCAATATTGTGATGTTGCTTATCAGGGACCTCATCCTTCATAGGAGGAAACCAGAGCTTAGATAGCTTTTCTAAGGCAAGGGCTAGAAAATAATTATTCTCAGGGTCTGACTGCTGTCCCATCTGACTTTTAGAGCCTGCACCATCAAGCTGTGCACCTCTGCGAACAATCTATACGGTTAGGGGGAGATTCCAGAAGCTGTGTATAATTCAGCAAGTAACAGAAACTGGTAAATGACCCTTTAACTGAAGGACATGATTTCTCTTCAACATCTGTGTCTTTGTCAACACATTATTAGTGTCCTGTCACTGGCCATCTTTGTCTGGGTCATTCTATGGTCCTTCAAACCTCAGGTTTTGTCATGTACAACGAGTGTTTTACTAGTTGAAGTGTACATTAGGTAAATGGCTTTGGAGGGATAGCTGGCAACATCTGGTGACTCAGAAAACACACCTGTGAGGCAGTCATCCCTCTGGGTGTGCTCTAGAAGGCAAGTTCTCCCACCTCTGTACATGTTTGGGGGCCAATATTCTTTGTTATGCTGTGGGGCTTCTGAGTGCATCTGGGAACTGCGGCCTCTCTGGCAATTTCTTCCTATGAAGAAAGAAATGAGGGAGAAGAAAGAAATGTGAGAGGAGAGGAGACAGGGGAGAGGCCCGAAGTTAATTAGCTTAAGCCAGATCGTAAGACTGGGTTACAAATGTGTGCATTGCCTTGGAACTTTTGTTGAAATTCTGACAGAGCCTGGAGCTCTCCTGAGAAAGCAGAGGAGGAAATATGGAAACAAGCCAGTGGGTATCTAAACACCACTACTTGATGGTGTTATTTCAACTGACAACAGCTAAATTTTGCTCAGACTAACACAATGACGAGCCACACAAATGCTGGAGCTCACTGATGACTGTGCTCTGTGCCCTTTCACTGTCAGTGAAGGAGAGCTCTGCTCTCTGGCCTGCTTGAATTCGGAACCCACAGCTTTGCTCTTGGGCCTAGAGCCAAGGAAGGAGAGGCAGGTGTTGAAGAGACCAAGAAGAGGGATGTGTTACAGGCTGCAAGTTTGGAGAACTGGTGCCTGACCAAAGGGACACTGAAAACAAGGTCCTTCGATTTTGGCTTCCCCAATGCCTGCAATGAGATTTTTCCCAAGAAAAATTTTTTAACTCCAAGGGCAGAAACCAGCAGGTTTCTCTACAGTGGTCTTCCTTTCTTCTCCTCCATCTCCATGGAGCCAATTATCAAACCAGAAGATCCTAGTTGAGAATTGACTCCTGAGGTCTGGAATGGGAAAGAAGAGTTAAGAGTCAGGTTGTAGGAGAGTGGGGAAGGGGATGGGAGAGGGAATTAGGGTGGAAGGCTAGCCCAGCCAGAGTCAGGGAAAGCTGATAAAGCTAGACACCTCGTCCCAAAGATAGGATTCTGAAAGAAGGCTGCTAGCTGGGTGCAGATTCTGTCTAAAATTGCACTGTTATGTTGATACCAATGAGATCCACCTTAATTGATGCAATAATCAAGACAACAGAGGAAACCTCAGTAGAGTCAAGCATGCTGCCTGCTACATGGAAGTCATGCACAGATGGCTCCCCCCCCTTTATCTTTGCTTTCTTGTCTCAATAACAGAGCATGTTGTATCCTAACTGAAAACTTGATTAGGAACCATGGCATAGTTTGCTCTCCACAAGGATTTATTGAAAAGCAGAAATATACAAAGGGGTTTAAAGTCTTAAGCAGTAATTTTCCAGAAAAAAGCCCTAATGGGGCTTTCTGACATTGTATATCTTCTGGTGGATATAAGGCTGTTCTCCTGGTCTATTCACCATGTAAAAGGGGTACACAGAACTCAGGGAGATGGGGAACAACTGAGAAAGGAAAGAAAAAGGGAGGAGGGAGAAGGAGGCAGGGGAAAAGATAGACATCGTTGCTATATTATTGTACAATTATGATCATCATTAGAAAACTAATTTAGACAAGCCCAGCCTGAGCCCCCGAAAGGGCACCAAGCAAGGAGCTGGGCTCAAGAACACAGAAATAGTTTTCTCATTTTGACTGGTGATGGGAATAATAATAATTTTTTCTCTGAACCATAACCATTTTACATTTAAATAATTTGCTTTCAGGTCAGATCAGGAGCTCTTGGGTGGTGCTCTGAGGAATTCTTTCATTTCTTTCGCACCTTTTAAAGAAAACAAAACTCCAGGTGCAATTATTGGCATTATATTTATACCAACTGCAACACAAAGTTCTAGAAAATGAGGCCCCTACCAAATTAGTTTATCTAAATGAAGTTTAGACAGTACCTTAGCAGGAGGGATCAACTGAACAATTTGTCTCAGTGGCCCAAGAGCTGGAGAACCACTTAGAGAAGCCACACGCTAGCAGCAAGCCTTGCTAAGTCAACAGCATATAGATGGAGTATGGCATGTGTTTTCAGTTACCCAAATGGATGGCTCCCTCCTGTGGGTCACTGAACCACAGGGTTCCTACATCAGCTTCAGATTGCATAGCAGCAAACTAGCTGGGGGGTGCAGATGAAACTAACTAAAATAGAATCCGATTTAACAACTGCTTGGGGCAGACACTCAGGCAGAGTTTAAGCAACAGATTATCCTCAGCTGAGAACATCTGCCTGAATGGAAGAGTTGTGGCTGAAGAACAGAAATTCAACAACCCAGAAGTTTCCAGAAGATGTCTGAAATATACCCCTCACTCTCTTCAGATCAGAACCTGCCAGCTATACATCTATGACTTGTCGGTTCTGTTTTACAGATGAGAAAGCTCAGGGACCAAAAATAGGAGGTGAGTGAAGATGTAGTTCACTCAGTCTGGCATTCTCTTTGTTGCACTGCTATTCATTGTGCACCAGGGACTGTGCCAAGTACCCTGTGGTACTTCCTTGCTTAGTTATTGTGATGGTTTTATAAGAGTTACAGTCCTGAGGTAAGGACACTGCATCCAAAAGTTTAAGTGAAGGCTGAGGGTTTGGTTCAGTGGTGCAGGACACACCCAGACTATGTAAGACCATATGATTGATCCTTGACATGTAAATAAGAGAAGAGATTAAAGCATCTTGACCCAGGTCATCCATCTACAAGGAAATAGAGTTCAAATTGAAACCAAGGGGCTCTATGATTATTTGGTAGAAATTCACCACTTGTAAGTATGCGCATCCTGGTTCCCAGGACTCCTGAGAGACCTAACAATACATGGCAGGACTCACATGTCAGAGTGTGAGACTCATATCAGAACTTGGCCTTTTGTGGCATCAGAGTCAGAAAAAAGCCAGAAGTCTGGTACCTACAACCGATCATCAACCATTGAGCTTTTCTCAAGGGATCAAGCCTTTGTTTCTTATGGCAAATGCCTGTTAGTGTTGATGAAGGATTGAAGAAGGCCAGCAAGGTGAATATTCTTGGCCAAAAATGGTAACGTGGGACAAATTAATGAGAAAATTGTCAAGTTTTGTGCATGCATGGATCACCAATGTAAACAGATTTACCTTATAATTCACCAGAAATACGAAACAGCAATTTGCAAAAATGAATTTCACAAATGGGCCAATGAGAGCAAAATTTTCTCATCAAGTGAAAGGTAGGACTTTTAAGGTGGAGGGGAGTTGTGGGTAGGCGAGCTCTGTACACAGTCATGTGGGTTGATGAGACTTAGATGAGAGAGGCAGTTCCTAGAGTCAGAGAGTCAGGACATTCTCACAAATGCCAAACCACAGACACAATTTTTATCAGCTTCATGGCTAGGGATGCTGCAGTCTTGGACCCAAGAGGGTCCAAGTGGGTCCTGGATGGTGCTCCACCCACTTGGGTCCAGAGGCAAAAGAGTTCAGAGCAGCGTGGTCTTAGGGTGCCAGGGTTACTAGAAAGCAAGCAATAAAGAAAGGGAAAGGGACGGGTGCAGACAAGGCTCAGACTAGAGAAGCCAGAACAAAGGACTGACTTACTGAAAACTTGAGGGTCTTCCACACCTATTGTCATTTCATATGCCTGGACACTCCGGTTCCTTGTGGAATCACAGATGCTAGCCCTCAGAGAGTAGAGAACATGCTTAATCAAGAAGGCTTAGGTGGATTGGTCAAGTTTCCCTCTGGATAGGTGGGATCTGGAAGGGCATCGTGGCATCTTGGAAACCAGAAGCAGTGAGGAGAAAACACTCATTTGTGATGCTTGCCGTTTCTGAGGTATCCATGTTTCTACCAGGTCAATGACTGCCCTTTTAACTTAGGAGGAAAAAGCTTTATAAGCTGGAACAGGCTGACTCCAGGTGCTGTGGTCTGGACATGGTTTGGCTCCCAGGCATTCAGGTACTGAAGGCTTGGTCCCCAGAAGGACAATGTTGAAGGGGTGAAAACTTTTAGCAGTTGGGGTCTAGGAGGCAGTAATTAGGTCACTGGGGGCTCCCCCTCCTGCCTGAAGAGCATGAGTCAGCTCTAGTCATAAAGGATTCTGAAACAGGGTAGTATTTTATCAAGAGCAAACCTGACTCTCCAGTCTCCTGCCCCAGGTCTTGCCATATGGCCTTTCTTGTTTGCACACCTGCTCCTATCATTGTGATGCTATCTGCTCTGGTTCCCTCACCAGAGTCAAACATGCAAATGACAAGAATTGTGAACTAAACATGCTTTTTATTTATAAAATGCTCCTACTTATTTTGTTAGAGCAACAGTAAATTGAATAGTACTCCAGGATACCATTGTCCAGACACCAGTGAGATTGAATACAGATACATAAAACTGAGATATGTAGATTATTCCCCCATTTAAAATAAGAAAAGAACTGAGCAGTGGTGGTGCATGCCTTTAATCCTAGCACTTGGAAGTCTGAGGCCGGTAGAGTGGATCTCTGTGAATCAGAGGCCAGCCTGGTATACAGAGCTAGTTCCAGGACAGCCAGGACTACACAGAGAAGCCCTGTCTTGCAAAAACAAAAAAGGAGAGATTTGCTCAACTTAGTCATTACTATTATTTTAAATCCATTCCACAGATAGGTGAGAAAAACTTCAATAATGGATCACCCTTTAACCCAGTCCCTTAATTCTCTACAGAGGCAACAAAATTTGTCAATGATCCATTATACCCATCTAGAAATATTTTATGTATGTGCCAGGAGGTGTATCTCTTTTCAACATTAAAATGGTAATGTGAAAACACTTTGATTTTTCATATAATAGTATTTTTAGAGCCCACACCCAAAGATACATAGGTGTGCCATATTGTTTAAATGGATACCCAGTATTCTTTTTCCTTGTGCCTTATAGTGATAAGCATGGACATTTTTTTCTTTCTTTTTTTTTTTTTTGCTTTAGCCAACTGATCAAAGAATATGTCTGTCCATATTGCTGCATGTAGGTATGCATCCCTACAAGTAAAATCTCTGGATGAAAGAGATGTCTTCAGTTTTATTTAAATGTTTGCATTCCTGCTGACTATCCAAAAGAGTGCCCTTCCTAACACAGTTGCCAACACAGCATGTCTCTAAAGATATGGCCCAGTGGTTGCTTAGTGCAGCTCAGCCCTCACTCTGTTCTTTCAGGGGAGGTCAGCTGATCCACAGAAGAGGAGAATGGACCCCTATGGAGGTGTAGGATCATCCCATAGGTCAGGTGTCAGTAGCTGGCAGTCTCCAGTCTTCCCCCATTCAATGTGTTGGATACTTTCTCCCAGCGAGCTTGCTGTGTGGGACCTGGACATTCAAATCAGCATCACTCTTTTGCTTCCCCGTCTTCTACTTCTGCACTGGCTCGTCCTTTGCAGCCCTGGGATCACTTTGCAGCCTGACCAGCAACTTAACTCCTAGCACGGT